AAGTCAGTAATTTGCGGCGGATTTACGACATATTTTATGATGGATTTTTTTTTTTACATAAATACTGATGGATTTGTGATGAAAATTTTCCACGAATTTTTTTTTTGTTGCGGCGGATATTCCATGGCAAATTTAAGGCGGAGAGTATATTTTATATAATAAATTTGATGAGCATGTGAAACTATTATAAATAGTTCATAACTTAGAAATCTAGATCTATAAAATTTTAATAAGATCATGATGATTAACATGAAATCATTTTCTTAAAATATCATATCAATCACAATTGAATAACAACATATTGTATCCTACCTAATTTAACTCAATAATCTCTTCTGATATTTCATAAAAGAAATTTCATACTCGCGATGAATCTCCCATAATAAAGCAAAATTTTAGATATGTGATTTGCGACAATTATTATGATTTCGTTTGGGACAGCTTTCTTCTTGTTTTCTAAATCAAATTTTTAGTACGAAAACTAAAATATTATATAGCTGATATACATCAAATAATCATCTATATTACATTATCTAAATAGGACATTTGCATAGCTTTTTGACTAAAACATATGTAAGATATCTTTTATGGCACTTGATGTAATCTTGTAAGGATAAAATTTGGTTTATATTTAAATCATAATGAAATTATTTTGTTTCAATTTAGAAAATTATTAACTTTGGGTGGGGCTAATGGATTTTAGGATGCTTTTCTTGCTTTTCAAATTAGAGACCCTTGTATTTTTATTAGGAATACTAAACTTTTCCAATGAGGGTGGCATTGTCTTTGAGAATGTGTCACCCTATTTGGATAAATTATTACGTGTGGTCACCAGATCGTTTGGACACGAATCAGGATGCACTATGTCACACAGCACATAATAATACACAACAACAGTACACAACAAAATGACGATGTGGCGCATCTTGATTTGACTATGGACGGCGTCCAGTGAGTGCACGTAACAATTTCACCACTAGTTGGGCTTCGTTTGTGATCGTGTTTTTTTTTACTGATTTCTAAAGTAACTTTATAGTATAAAAATTTCTAGTTAAAAAACATTTATATTAGAAAAATATTTTAGAAAATAGTAAAAAAAATATTCAAAATGAAGCAAGTAACCTCTCTTATTTTATATTAATCTATTTAAGAATGATAAAGAGATTGGCATCATTTATAGCTTCGCTCATCTTAGAGTAAATAGTATAATAATTGCTCTAAGATTAAAAAAATCAATTGTAATCCCCAAAGCAAACAAATTATCATATGGTTCATTTAAATGAGATAATCATAGTTATAAAAATTACCACTAGACTAAAAATATAAAACTCTCACCAAATTGATCCTAAGGAACAATCAAGTCTCATCCATCCTTTGATTGAATCCATGAACTACTTGGAATAAATTGTAATAGCCAAATCTATAATTGGTATTGTTATGGAAAATTAGACCCTTAACATGTTAAGAGAGACCTTAACAATTAGTTTTATATTTGACCATCATCTAATAAATCAAATTTGGATCTTATAAATTTTGGATCAAGGTTCATAGCCTCAAGATTAGTGCTACAAGGAATTTCAATCACAGTCGAAATTTTGCCCATGGCTCGAGTGGTATCTGTGCTAATAAATATAGTACGATGCATCAAATTGATGGGGGGAGCAAGCGCAAATCTTACAATGATCAAACAACTCAAAAACTAGAAGGGCAACCATACGATTCAATTTCTGTTAAATAATGATCTCAAAGTGAATCAGGAGACCATTCATCATATGGTCCAGATAAGTTGAAATTATTCGATTAGGTCGGATGTATAGCATCATCTGGAGACCAATCAGAATGCGTCACGTTAGCGGTACCGAGCAGGACAGATCAATACCGAGCCACGGTATCGAGCGAAGGATAACATGACGCATTTTAATTAGTCTCTAGATGGCGTTCGGCATTCACAAAGAATAATAATTACTTCAAGCTAAGAGACATTTTTTTTGCATAGATAAACCATTGAAAAGATAAATATATAAAATTGCAGTTTTTAACTTGTGGTTCATAATTAACTATTTTATATTAAAATTGTGATTTGGAACAGCTTCTTTGGTGCTTTTTAAAGCAATTTTATAATACAAATTTTTTTGTACTATAAAATTGCTTTAAGAAGCAATAAAAAAAAAACATCTCAAACAAAATCTAAATGCTAAAAGAACCACTTTCTTAAAATTTATTATAAAAATGATGATAATAATAATAATAATAATAATAATAATAATAATAATAATAATAATAATAATAATAATAATAATAATAATAATAATAATAATAATAATAATAATAATAATAATAATAATAATAATAATAATAATAATAATAATAATAATAATAATAATAATAATAATAATAATAATAATAATAATAATAATAATAATAATAATAATAATAATAATAATAATAATAATAATAATAATAATAATAATAATAATAATAATAATAATAATAATAATTATTATTATTATTATTATTATGATTA